AGATGGTGTGGGAGACTTTGGGAGACGGTCTGTGAGAGTTGTTGCATGTGACTCAGAGAAAGAGGTGAGGTGGAGGCTCCATGGAGGGATTGTAAGAGAGAAAATATGCTCATATGAGCATCTGTGTGGGGGAATGGGAACGAGCTACTGAGGTATAATGTGAGCCTGGGGCAGGAGAAGGTGTTGGGGAGCCTGGTTGCTACTGGTGAGATATTGGGAGCAACTGCTTGTTGGAGAAACAGCATGTGTCAAAGATTATGGATCAGTGGCCTACCTATGAATGGGGAAAGCTGATGATATGCAGATTGAGACAGGCCATCCTTGGCAGAGGAATCAGCTTTATGAAAAGGTACATGACTTTGCTCATTCTGGGAACTGCCAGCTTTTTGGTTCAATGCTCAGGGAGCATAAGAGGAGCTGTCTGTAGAAACCCAGATGCCAGCCTCTGGGGGGTACACTTTATAGAGAGGACAAAAGGAGCTTGTGAAGGGCTTTAGGTAGATCCGATGCCAGTAGAGTGGAGGGATGTGTCAGGTTGAGGCATTGAGACCCTCACACCTTCCTGTCTTCTGTAATTGCCTCTCTCTTGACTAGAAGGCCCTTCCTCCTTTGACTGCCAAGGACCACTGACATTTTCCTGGGAAGTCTTCCCTTCTCTACTTCAAGTCCCTTCATTAAAGAAACAAAAACCATTCCTCCATATATCCTTTGCCACATAGAATTTAGCATAAAACTCACCCCAGGACTTATCATAAGGCACTGACTTTGGTTGTAGGAATTTAACTTCGCATGAGCCTCTTGAAGATAGGGGCATTTGCCTTAGTCTTGCCCAACCCCCAGCCCAGCCTGGTGGCTGGAAGGACATGGCCCAAGTAATGCTAATCAATGCCCTCCCACTGATTTGCTGACTACTTTAGAGCCTTAGAGCAGTCACTTGACCTCTCTGGGTCTCAGGTGCATCTCTAAGAGAAAAATTTTTACTCCTGCCTCTGCAGGTTTGGAACAGATCACAGCTGAAACAGGGCCAGTGGCTGTAACAATATAATAAAGACACTTAAAGAGATCAGCCCACTATGTTCTGAAACCTTTCACTCAGTTTTTCTTCATAATAATCCCTTGAGGAAGGTACTACTAGTTTTAGTTATTTTACAGATGAGGAAACTAAGGTGCAGAGAGATTAAGTTAATCCCCCAAGATTACATAGCTAGTATCAGCAAAAAGTGTTTGAACACAGGTAGTACTGCCTCCCGAGCCTTTATTCCTAACATACCTAATCCCTTCTTACTGAAGACCACAACAGACTTTAGCAGAGGCTCACTTGCGCGAGCTCTCTCTCTCTTTCTCTCTCTTTCTCTCTTTCTCTCTCTCTCTCTCTCTCTCTCTCTCTCTCTCTCTCTCTCTCTCTCTCTCTCTCTCTCTCTCTCTCTCTCTCTCTCCATGGCACACTTGGCACACCCTCTGCATAGCCTGGATTTCATCCCTGGTACTGTAGTGTACATTTATTCCTGGTGGCCTGTACTTGGTGAGCTGCAGGTTCTAGGAGTCAGGGGGGAAAGAGACATACAGAAATTTCCTGTCTTGGGAGCTGTAGCCTTAGTCCTGAGTTTGAGGACCCTACCTCTAGCCCTATGACATGGGCTTTTTCTCAGCTATGCCATCTGTCTTGGGTGCTAGGCCACATCTGGGTGAATCATCCCAGGTCCCTCTCTAGTGAGGAGGAAGCCTGGAAACCAGGCTTCCATCTGTCCAGATGGTCTCTGAAGTAGGGGAGCCTCTCCCCTGCCCTTCCCTTGTGCTATAGAAAAAGGGACCCCTGGAACCTTAGCAGTGACTCTGAGGTGTAGGGAATAGAAGGTAGGAGGGGCACTGGTAGGATTGGTGGAGCCAAAGAGACACAGAAACTAGGGCTGCCCATTCCCTCCTAGGGACCAGCAAGTAAAATATAGTTTTCTGGAAAAATAGGACTAAGAAAACTGGAGAATGCAGGGTTTAAAGAGGCCACAGGACAGGCAGACAGGCATGTTAGAAGGGTGTCCTTCCTCATCTTACTCCAATATTTGTGTCAGATGCTGTTGTTTATTAGTTACTTAGAACCGTGAGTGGGGAGCTGCTATACTCTGCAGGCAGGTATACAGAGGACTCGCAGGGTGGACAAGCACAGCTGGAAGGGGGATCTTATTCTGGCTCTGCTGCTTGCCAGCTGCATGGCCAAGGGCAGATTAGCACTGCCTCTCTGGGCCTGAGTTTCAGTTTCTTTAGCCAGGCATCAAGGAAATATGACAAATTGATCTAGTAGGCAATTACACATTGTGGTTGGTGAAGAGAGCCCAGACTTTGGAGTCTGATTACAGGATTAAAATTCTGGCTCCATTTTCTCTTAGTCCCATGACCCTGAGCAAGTTACCCATTCTAAACTTGGTAGAAATCATAGTTCCCACCTCTTGTTGTAAAGATTTTAAACAGGACAATATACCCTTTTTTTGACTCACAATAACAATTACTTGTCCCTTCCAGTTATAAACTTCAATAAATCTTTGTCCTACCCAAATAAATGGGAAAAACTGAGGAAACATCCTTTTTCAATGATAAATCCTTGTTCCCTCTCTTCACCCCCAGTTGTGTTCCCATTTTGGTAGCATTTTGTTGTTGTTGTGGATGATATTTTTATTTAATATACATGCAGGGGGGTAACTCAGATTTCTTTCATCCTCTGTTCTGGTCTAAGAATTCAAATAAATGCTTTTCTGTTAATGGCAGGCAGGTGATGTCCCCGAGCACTGGGACCACCCAGCACCTTTCAAAATACAGGGTATTGGCAGGAGGTGGGTTTGAGAAGATGCTGTGAATATTCCAGACAGGGTTCTTTTAAAGGATTATGAAGCTCTGGCTGGTATAACTCAGTGGATTGAGTGCTAGCCAGCAAAACAAAGGGTTGCTGGTTCCATTCCCAGTCAGGGAATGTGCCATCCAGGCACATTCCATGCAGGCCAGGTTCCCAGTAGGGGGCACATGAGAGGCAACCACACATTGATGTGTCTCTCCTTCTCTTTCTCCTTCCCTTCCTCTCTCTCTAAAAATAAATAAATACTTTTTAAAAAGGGTCATGAATATTCCAGACAGGGTTCTTTTAAAGGGTTGTTGCCGAAAATACCCTAGGAGTAGAAATCTGTTATCAAGTCTCACCCGACAGGAGTTGAGCCTGGAGTGAAAAGTACTAAAGTGTACTAGCTCCAGTTTCCCCTCGAGGGAGTAGAAGATCAGATGCCAGGCTGGTGGGGCAAGGAGACTCCAGACATGTAGCCCAAGAACAGATTTTCTGTTAGGCAGAAGCTAGGATGAACCCAAGCTCTGATCCACTTTTCCCACAAGTCTGGGAAAGTAAGGAACCTAATAGAACCTTTCTCACCAGCTGAGTCTCAGTTTTCCTTTCTATAATATTGGTGGAAATTCTCCTTATACACTTCCCCACCTCATTGTTCCAGAGGGCATTCACAGTAAAAGGAAGTAAGAGAAACATCCTTGTAAAGTCAAAGGACTTCAGAAGTACATAAGGATTTATGAAATGACAGCAGTCATTTGTTCAGATCACCTGTGACATGTGCTGATCACTTGCAATGATGATAATCACCACAGCTGGTACTTTCTGAGCACTTACTTTGTGTGGGCATTTTCTGTGCCCTCCACATTAATTTATTTAGTCCTCATCACAACCCTGTCAGGTAAATGTATTCTCATTTCCATTTTACAAATGAGGCTTAGAGAAGCTGAGAGATATGCCTGGGTGCCAGGTAATACGTTGCAGAGTTGGGGTGGAATCACTGCCCCTCACTGCCTATACCAGGAACCCAAGAGGTATCTTATACCCTGTTCTCAGAGCACTTACACTCTAGCAGGTGTACAGTGAGCACCCCTCACTGTACATGGGGGCTGTCTTAGTGATTGAGGCCAGGGCACATACATTGATAGATGAGCTACACTGGGCCTTACACTCTCAGTGCCAGTGCAGGGCCATTGGTGTTCCAAGAAGAGAACCATCATTGTCACCAGGGTGTCTCCTAGGCAGGGGGACCTTGACAGATTAAATTACTTCTGACCAGGACCTGGTAACTTTTCACTGGGAGCAGTCAGGCAAGACACAGAGATGGGTGGGAGCAGGGAGGCACCTCAGGTGCAGGTGGGTCAGAGCACAGGATTCCAGGAGTCAGTTGGGAAGGAGACCCCATCCCATGACCCCACTCCAGCCTCTCCCATTCATTAGTGAGTCAGTAACAGGAAGGAGCACTTGGCCTCCTGGTAATGCCATTAGTAACACCATCAGGAAAGGGGAGTAGAACGGGAAGGGAAAGGTGAGCCATCCCAGTTCCCTCACTCCAGAAGGCAACAACAGCTGAAGGCAGCTTGTGCTGGCATCTGTTCCTAACCCTGTCCTGCCCCCACCACCTCTACCTGAGTGGCTTGGCTGATCAGAAGTCTGGGAGGAATTTTGAGGAGCAGTAATAGTTAGGCATTTTCCCAAACCTGAATAAGAATGTCAGCAAAAGAAACTCTGGAATCTGTACTTATAAAAAGTACAACCTGTCCCTCACGAGGCCTGGGTCCTATGGTTGTAGTGGTCCTGACTCATCCTGATCAGTGTGACACATTGGTGCCACCTGGGGGAAGTATCAGCCATAAGCAAACCAAGTGCCAAAACAGTGCTGTTCCCTTGAAGGTGAAGTTCTGTACTTTGAAACAGTTTTGTTTTGAAAAGCTTTCTAGCAGTTCACTTTGTGAATTCAAAGCCCCCCAGGAGGCTTCGAAACATCTGGGCTATATTCTTTTAAGTCACTGGTTTAAGTGGGAAAGATTAAAAATCCTAGACCAAAAAGAGGGAGGTGTCTTTTGCAGGGCAGTATCCAGGCACATGTCCTCTCCAGGGCCTGAGCTGAGCACTGGGTGGGCTGGCAGGGAGGCCCCACCCATATCCACCTGGTCCCTGTCCTCCTGCCCTTTTCCATCAGTATGTGAAGATCTTCCGGGCCTTGATCCTGGGGGAGCTGGAGAAGGGTCAGAGACAGTTCCAGGCCCTCTGCTTTGTCACCCGGCTGCACCACAATGAGATCATCCCCAGTGAGGCCATGGCCAAGCTTCGACAGGTGAGTGCCTTCCTTGGGCCTGCCCTCTCCCAGGTTCTTCCCCAGAGTTCTCACCACTGCAGCCAGCAAGGCTCCAAGCCTGAACACCACCCCAGCCTCAGTGTCGCACCCAGCATGTGATCTGAGCCCTCATACCTGGTACCTTACTCTCACCTTACAGTCCTGAACCCCCTGACTTTGCTCCAGCTAAACCTGACCTCACAGCCCTAGACCTTTAATTTGCACTGAACCCCCAAACTCCCATATTCCTCCAGTTCCTAATGTTAGCTTGTCCCCATTTATGATGGAGGCTAGGGGCTTAGACTCTGAAGTTGGATCTGCCTTCAGATCCAGTGCCGCCCTCATTATCTGGGTAACATTGGACAAGTTACCTCACCTTCAAAGCTTCTACCTGCCATAGGCCCTTCTCCTTGTGCCTGCCCCTTCCAGAGATACTCAATTTCCTGAATGTTGGGAAGTATGGAACCCCAGAGGTCAATTACCCTGGGATAGGTTGCCTGGTCAACCCACCTCCAACAGCCACCCCAACAGCATGATTGAACTCTTCATCGGGCCACCAAAGACAGCCAGCTAAAAAGACTTGACTATACTCTGGGTATCAGTTTCTCTGCCAATAGGAGTGGGAGCTGGGTGCTGTTTGACTGACTGCCACCTTGCAGATGGTCCCAAGATTCTAAACACAACCAGCCTGGGCTTGTCTGACTCTCAGTTATCAGGGGGAAATGGGCAAGAAGGCTTCTGAGACCTGGTGGGAGTGGCTCTTCTCCCCACAGAAAAATCCACGGGCAGTGCGTCAGGCTGAAGAGGTGAGGGGCCTCGAGCACCTGCACTTGGATATCGCTGTAAACTTCAGTCAGGGGGGCCTGCTGAGTCCCCATCTCCACAATGTGTGTGCAGAGGCAGTGGACACCATCTACACCCGCCAGCAGGATGTCAAGTTCTGGTTGGAGCAAGGTCAGCTGGGTGCTGTCCACTGCTGTATCATATCAAATGTGATAGAATGCAATGATGAGATGTGGGGTTCAGGGAAGGGACCTCTGAACCAGGCTGGGATTAATTAGGGAAGGGACATCCGTATGGCTCTCCAGTGAGAGGAGTCAGCCAGGTGAAAGGGACCCTCCAGGTAGGGACACACAGAACTATGGCTCTGCTGGGCCCTGTGGAGGGAGATTCCCAGGCAAATCCTATCTCATTCCTGACCTTAATGGGAACACAGAGAGAATCTTCTGTCATGTGAGGTGGTACAGACATCAGGGTCTGGGTGGGGCCCAAGGACTCCCATTCCTACATACTTACCTTGACCACCACCTCTTAGAAATCCATTCCTCTCCTTTATTTCTCCTCTCCTCTGGTGCCAACATCTTTATCCCAAGATCTCTGAGGCCTCCTCCTATCTTTGTATGATCTTTGCCTTTCTGGCCTGTGTGACCTCACTGCCAGGTGATCTCCTGGTATTTTTCCTAGGGCTGTCCTCAAGTTCTCTGTATAGAGGGGACAAGGAGATGTCACCATTCCAATTTCAGGTCCCTGGTCCCTCTGCTCAGCTGGCTGCACACTAGAGAAATGTCTGCCCCTTCCAGGGTGGCTCTGGATTTAGAGATGTCCAAAAGAGCTCTCAAACCTCTACACACACACACACACACACACACACACACACACACACACACACACACACACACACACACACACACACACACACACACACACACACACACACACACACACACACACACACACACACACACACACACACACACCCCTACACACACACACACCCCTACACACACACACACACACACACACGTTGCACCCCAGACAGAGCTGCAAACCTGATACTGTCCCCCAGAGACTGGCCACTGAGCTGAGCCAAGGCCCAGGTCGCTGTTGTCTGCCCAGTACCCTTCAAGTGCACGTTCCTATCTGTTCCTTGCCCTGACCATCCTGAGTTCCCAGTGTGTTTGTATAGGCCTTTTCCTGCCCGGTCCTACTCAGATATCATTTCCTTTAAGAAGCTTGTCTTGATTTCCTACTTATTTTCCCCTCGCCTTTATTCTGTCACAAACCAGTATAGTGATGTTTTTAAATGTAGGGCGGCAGCATGACTAAGTTAAGGCCTTGAAGTCAGACAGACCTGTGTTCCAGTTCTAACTTTACTGCTTACTATCTGACAGATTGTTAAACTTCTGTGGGCTGTTTTTCTCATCTGTGAGAGGGGGATAAGAATATTTAGCTCATTGGGGTGATGGGATACCTAAAAAGTCCATGCATGAAATGGCCCTGGCCCCTTGCTAGGGGATACCCCCTTTCTCCTTTCTTGACCTTTGCCTCTCTCCCTTAGGTGTGGACAGTTCCATCTTCAAGACTCTGCACAAGGACACAGAGCAGGCTTTGCTACCTCGCTGCAGGCAGGTGAAGGACCGAGGGATGCCCTGTGTCTGTCACTATGGCCTGAGCCTGGCCTGGTACCCCTGCATGCTCAAGTATTGCCATAGCCGGGATCGGCTGGCACCTTACAAATGTGGCATCCGCAGCTGCCAGAAGAGCTACAGCTTCAACTTCTACATGCCCCAGAGGCAGCTGTGTCCCTGGGATGAGGATCCCTAGCCAGGCTGGGGTGAAGGCTCACCACTCCTTCTCCCAACCCCAGAGAGGCCTTATTTCTCTCCTTCCCCTCCCTTCCTATCCTCTCCCCTGCTCTCCACCCCTCCCTTTTCCTTTCCCTCCCTTGCTCTTCCCCCTTTCTCCCCTCCCCTAATCCCAGAGCCTCTAGCCCCATCACTCATAACTGTGAAACGGGATGTGGCTTGGCAGCTCCCACTCCCACCGTGTGCCTTTCTTGAGAACAGAAGAAAAGGTGGTTCTCTATATTGTACCCCTCCTCTCTTCCTTCATCCCCCCCTTTCAAGCAACCAAATTATCATGTCCTGTGATTCTCTTATTTAACTCTTTACAGATTTAGACCCCAAAAGGTGTCTTTGCTTGTTTTACCCACCTCCCCACATAAAACCACTCCCTAACCATCAGGAAGAAGCTGGCCACTCTGTACTTTCAACTACCCGAGAAAGAGGGCATTATCGCCCCAGAGAGGGGGCTATTGGGACAGATACTGTAGCCCCTACACCAGATCACAATGCATCCTACTTATCACTGGCCTCCTAGGTCTCACTGGGACAAGTAGGAACCTCCCAGCTCTGAGATAGATCCCCTGTTCCTTTCCCCAGACTTGGCTACAAGAGCAGACACCACCTTTCCCCATCTAAACAGAAATATGTTTGTAGGGTTCTTGGTCAGGAAGGGAGGAGCATGAAGTATGAGGAAAACTTGAATTCCAGATTTTTAATGCAAAGTATTTATCATTTCTACCAGAAATAAAAGTTTCAATTCTTACTTGACTGACTTTTGGCTAATGCAATGCTGCCACCTGGTGTCAGGAGAAGTGTTCTGTATTCTATCAATGACTAATCATGGGACACCTTCTAAAGTACCTACTGTATGCTCAGCCACTATGTGGTGAGGAGAGGTTGTGGGTGGGGGGGTGTTACTAGGGAAGGATAAGACAAACCTTCTGCACTGAAGAAGAGGAGACATACACAGAGAAGAGAAGATGAGCAAGCCAGACAGTAGCAGGCAGCATGAGATATATTAAGACAGCGTGAGTTAAGATGAAAACTTTGGAACTAGACTTCCACAGTTCATATCCTGGCCTTGCTTATTATTTGCTGTGCAGCTTTGGGTCATGTTACTTTACCTCTCTGCCTCAGCTCTCTCAGCTATAAAATGAGCTTAATTGTGAGACAAGTGAATTCATGCATTTCAACTGCCCAGCACATAGTGTTCACTGTGTTAGCTGTTGTTATATTGTTACTGTTAGTAAAAACTGCAGACATTTCCTCATCTATAAACCTGAGACAACTAAGCCAGACGTCTTGAAGTCCTCTACACTTCCACAGTATCTTCCAATATAAGGAGGCTATAATATGAAATGCTGGACCAAATGCTGGAGGACTTCTAAGAAGAAGGGATGTACAAGCTGAATTTATTGCAGAAAGTTTCCTGGATGAGAGGACACATGGTTTGAGGCTGAAGGATGGTAAGAATTTGGTAAGGTGAAGAGAACTATGTTTCAAGGCCTGGGAAAGTCCCAGGGGTCCCACAAAGCACCCATCTGCTTAGGAAAGGCGACCTGGAGAATCAAATACTTCCTCAGAGGCCTTGGAGAGGCTTACAGGGCAGTCCCTCTTACTCTGCTTCCCAGCACCTTCAGAACAGGCTGATCCTGCCCCTTGAACCTGTGCAGGCTGGAGGGTTGTGGTGAGCCAGGCGTGCTTGGCAATGGTCAAAGTTAGGGGTCAGTGGGTAGTCAAGGACCAACTTCAGCCATACAGGGGGCGTTGGGGGGCAGGGAAGGGAGGCATTCCTCCCCAGGCCTTTTCCTCCTTGCCTTCCTGCACAATATGGCACCTCAGCTCTAAGCCCTACCCCCTTCAGGTGAGGCATGTACTACCCTATGTGTCTGCCTTTATTGCTGGGGATGGGGTCCCTACATCATATACCTTCCCTACTCACTTTCAAATAGCCAAAAACAATACTTTTGTAAAAAGTAATATTTTTAAGACTTAGAGTGTTTTTCTGATCTTCCTTTGAAGGGACTAGCACTTCCAAGCCTGCCTGTCCCCTGCAGTAAGGGGGCTTTGGGGCACCACTCTGCCTGTGGTGCCTCAGGACATGAGGATGAGAATTAAGATTTCCTGAGAGTTCGTGCTGATCCTACACACAGGCAAAGTCTACACCTGCCATCATTCCAAACAAACCTAACTTCCAACCCTGTGCTGTCATAGTACCTCCAATTCCACCATTACAGTCACTTAGCTGACAAGTTTCAGGGTGCATCAGAATCCCTTGGGAGCTTGTTAAATAGATGTAGGTGGTCAGCTATTTCAGAAACACTGAGGTAATGCTTTACTTTCCTCGGGAGGCCTTTGTGAGTACGTGAAAACAACTGAGCGAGGTAATCTACCTACAGTGAGTCCTCATTTCTCTGGCACTTTAGGTTTTACAAAGTGCCTTCATATAAATTAGCTCAGTTGGCTCCTTGTAGTGATTCTGTGCCATTTTAGGAATGTGGCTCACTGAGGGTGGGGGGGTTCGCCGGCAGGGCACCGCCCCCTCACCCAGCTGCCACAGATGAGAATTAGTGTACCAAGACGTGATCTGCTTGGGGAGAAAAGGTGGCCAGTCTCTCAGAGAAGGGCCGAGACCCTTTTCCTCAATGGGCTTTTATTGGATTCAATTTGTACAGGAATACGGGTAAAGCTCATCAATCGTTGTCAGACAGTAAGGATCAAAGAATAGATAACGTACAAAGAACTACGAGGGTTTATTCTGAGTCAGGGTCTGTTAGCTAAAAGGCTACAAAACTTTGGGAAACAATCTCATCCTGCTTGGATCCTTATCATTTAATTGAGAGCACTCTTAGCATAGCAGGTTTCACAGGATTTTATGTATTCTTAGGCTTGATCACTTGTGGAACTCACCCTTTCCAGCACAGGGCTGCACCGCCCTCTGTCATTGTTTCAGGCTTAAATCAGGCAGGGGAAGTAAGGCAGCCAAGAGATTAGGAGACTTCTTGGAGACAGAATGAGGATTCAGGATTCAGGCTCTGTTAAAGCTGAGGGGTGAGGGTCCATCACCCCCTTTTTCTATAGTCCCCCAAGTCCTTCCCTGGGGAGCCCCCCGATTCTGCCTGTCTTAGGTCATCCCTCCCTTGAGGAGTCTTACCTGTCATTGACTAACCAATCATACATTGGGGGCCAGGCAGGGTGAAGTAAAAGGGGGGCAGTGGTGGTGCCCCTGCCAGGGAGATAAACTTTGTCTCCTTAGTGGCTTATGGCCCCAAGGTCACTCACTCAGCCTTAGCCATGAGGGGGTTACAGCTTCTGAAACCAGGCAGGGTGGTTCCCAACAGTTCACCTATAAAATTGTGAGTTGCTCAGCTAGTAACAGCAGAGCTAGGACTCCATGCACACCTAACTCAAGTGAGTTTATCAGATTGGCCAGCCAGAACCTCAGCACAGTGTACCTACCAGAGGGAGGAGGGTGGGCAGTGGGCAGTGCGAGGTCTGGAGCTGGGTCCAGTCCTACAGTAGCAATCACTGAGTACTTGGGAGAGTGGGTGCCCAAATCTTTCCTGGGACTCGTATTCAAAGGAACAGGCTTCTGACTAGTACCCTTTGCCAAGTTAAGTGAGAATCTTGGATGGGAGATCAAGAGCACAGATCTCCCAGTGCCTCTTCAAGCCAAAAGAGGTAAAAGTGGTGCCACTCATCCCCTGACAGGATCATGCAGCCTGGATGCAGCTTTACTGTGCTTTCTGTGGGTTTTCTTCAGGCTCCTCTTCCTGCAGTCTTATAAGCCAAAGGAAGTCTTAGATGGAAGAACTGTGGAGCCACCCCCATAGTTGGAGCACATCTGTCCAGGGTCTTCACAGGACCTGGGTGGGAGGTGGAGCTGCCAAGGAGTTTGGCAAAAAGTAAGGCAAGGACTACTCTCAAGAAGTGAAGCTTGAGGCTAACAATGCATGTGATGCATGTGATAAATGGTGCCAGCCTAGTCCCAAATCTATGTAACCTGGGTGGGTCACCCCTGTACAAACCCCCAGTCTCCTTATCCATCGAGAGAGGGCCTCACTAGATCACTTCTAATGTCTTCCCTGACACTGACATTCTGCATGTAATTACTGCTTGGCATTCCACTTCTGAGTATTTGCCATTTGGGCTACTGATGGACAAATGAATTGTTTAGTGTGACTTGCTCTTATAAGCCATGCTGTAGAGAAATGGTGAAAATGGAGAAACAAAATAGCCAGTATTAGGTAGATACCATCAAATTGCCCTCCAAATGGGGCTGCCTCAATTTATAGTCTCACTAGCAGTGTATGAAAGGCCTTGTTTCCCCACATTCCTGCCATATCAGTAGGGGTTCTCCAGAGAGACAGAAGAGAGGGAGAGGTGGGGGCAGATTTTCAAGGAATTAGTTCATGCAATTGTGGAATCTGGCAAGTCCAAAATCTTCACAGGCTGGCAGCTTAGGCAAAAATTGATTTTATAGTCTTGAGTCTGAAATACGTAGAGCAGGCCAGCAGCTGTAAATTCAGACAGGATTTCTGTTACAGTCTTGAGGCAGAATTCTTTCTCTTAAAACTTCAGTTTTTGCTCATAAGGCCTTCATTTGGATGAGCCTCACTCTAACTGTCTAGGGTAATCTTAGAGTCAACTGATTTTAGATGTTAATCACTTCCATGAAATACCTTCACAGCCTAATTAGACCAAACAACTAGGCATTATAGCCTAGCCAAGCTGAAACACAAAATTAACCATCACCCTGCCATCACTTGATAGTATCATAAAGTGCCATTTGACTTTGAGAAATAATAAAGCATTCTAGGGTTTATTCTCAGATATCAGCTACTGACTCTAGCCAGGTAACAGTTGTGCTGTTTGTTCCCAGGACCCTCTTCCCTACTCCATTCATTCTCCATCCTTTTCTGCCTCCGCCTGTGAACACCAATCTCTGCATCAGCCCCAGCTGGGCTTTCTCACCTCTGACTTGGCCAATGAGAAGCATCAAAGATCTGAGGGCAGGATGAGAGAGACTTTGTAACATATGTTCCCTGCTCCCTGCTGCTTCAATTCCACACTTCTGGCACTGGCTTTCTTCCCACAGGCTCCAGACCTCCTTGAGTTCCTGAACCACTATTCCTCACCTTGCCTCTTCAGTCTTAGCTTCTCAGTGGCACTGCTCTTTGGTTCCCTTTGCCCTGCTGGCACCTGGGTAAATAAGCAATACCTTCATTAAAGGCACTCCAAGTCAAGTTGATTCTGCTTTCTTTCAAAAACCATGATTGATCACAATAGCAGTCCCAGCTTAGGACACAGAAGCATAAACAGTGAAAGGGAAGAAGGACTTACTGTACCCCTCCCTGGGAGAAAGTGCCCAACCTAGGGGGCTTCCCAGCAATAAGGGAAAGTAGGTGTATCACAAACTACCTTAGGATCTAGGCCTGTGGAGTCTTTGGGGAGGGGGCAGTGCCCACATCCCCTGAGGTGACGGCTCACTGCCTTGGCCCTGGCACCTGTGTCATAATGGGAGAATGTCCTGACTCCTAAGCAGGGAAAGGCAGGATGAAGTGACAAAGCACTCATGGCTCCCCACCTTCTACATCACAGGAAGCATAAACATCTCTATCCAACCTCCATCCATGCCTGGCATAATGGCAGGACAGGTGTCCCCTTTCCCCTGACCAATAGGGTTCTGAATCCTAGCCTCTCTCCCTTCCTTTCTGGAGAACTTATCCCCTCTCTTTTAGTTCTCTTTTTCTTGCATTCTTT